ATTGACCGTGCTAATGACAGAAAATTGTTAGTGCAGGTCCACGTTTTCATATGGCCCCCATATAACGGCACCTCCCGATACTCGGTATTTTAATGATTTTAGCGACATTATTTACTGGAATTGTTTCAAATTTTGTATCTGAAGTTCATAATTGATACTGCAGTCAATGACAGAAAATTATCTGTGCAGGTTCACGTCTTCGTATGGCCCCCATATAACGGCACCTCCCGATATTCGGTATTTTGATGATTTTAGCTACATTATTCACTGAAATTGTTTCAAAATTGGTATTAGAATTTCGTAACGGATACTACAGCCTATGACGGAAAATTGTCTGTGCAGGTCCACGTTTTGGTATAGCCTCCATATAATGGTACCTCCCTATCTTTGGCATTTTGATGATTTTAGCGACATTATTCACCGGAATTGTTTCAAATTTGGATTTGAAGTTCGTAATGGATACTACAAACAAGCGAAAATTTGAGTCAGATCGGCTAAGCAGTTCTTAGCAGATGTATTACTATACTTTTTTAAACTTTATACATGTAGCTTTAAATAAGTATGTATGGCCAGTTCCTCTGACCCTAAACAGAGGGAGAGTCCATAGTACGTCATATACTAACAACGAAACTGATATCTCCATTATTATGGCAAATATTAAGATTTTAGGTAAATCGAAAAAATGTGCGCAAACGTAGGCATGGCCATTTTTTCTTTACATAGAAACCTAACTCGGGGTAGGACAAAATAAATAAAAAAATATATTTCCAAATCGGTCTAGCCGTTCTCAATTGATTCAATTACAAACAAACAACAATTCATTTGTATTATAGATTAAAAAGAAGGCGTGGTCAGTTCCTCAGCCCCCAAGTAAGTACTTAGTGTTGGATGGAAAGCCAACAGTATCATAATTTTGGAAAATATAAGGATTTTAGATAAATCGAAATAGTGGGCGTGAAAGTAGGCGTGGTCAATATTATTTTCTTTTAAAACCTAACTCGGGTTACGATGAACGTTTGTACAAAAAATTATGCAAATCGAACCAGTCGCTCTTACCTGATTTCATTACCAACGAACAACAATTGATTTTTATATGTATAGATTTTTTTAGGTCCGATTCGAAATGGACAATACTGGCTTATCCATCGGAACGCATTCTATAGAAGGTCAGCACTTTAAATAATCATAACAGAAGTCATAATATATTTAAACAATCGAACATTAACTGAGGGTATACATCTGTCGGCAAAACCGACTGATACTTTTTATACCCTACAACTCTACAGGGTTGCCCATATTCGACGGACCCATGTTTTATGTATGCGACTTGTGTGCGGTGGAGCGCCGTCTTGTTGAAACCAGAACTGCCTCATACGCTTTCGACGAATAATTGGCATCACAAAATTGGTCATCATGTCGTGATAACGCTCCTGATTGATGATAACAGCATGGCCATTTTTTTTTTTTGGATGTTCTTGGGGACCTCTCAATACTGGCTCGTACGGCAGCCATATTCCCGACCGATCGCCTTGGTCGACTTTTATATGACCTCTTCGGATTAGAAAGAGCCTTACTAGTCGAAAATTTTTTAATGGTGTTCTTAGAAGGCGCACTTCTCACATTTTTAATGTTTTAAAAGCACGTTGAGTTTTCACAATTGACTTCTTCTGTTGAATGTAAATTTCAAGTATTTCAGAGCGCTCGCGTGGCGTGTATTGGTTCATGGTAACAATCTGCTTGGACTGACGCTTCAAACGCGGTATGTCATTAAGCGATGTGACATTTCTGTCAAAAGTTATGGAGTTGCCAGATGGGTCCGTCGAATATGGGCAACCCTGTATGTGTTGGGGGTATTATAAGCTTGGTTGGGGCAAAAATTATGTAACACCTCGAAATAGTGGTTTCCCAAATAGGAAAGTATGCATGAATCTTCCTATCTCACCGAACTGAGTAAAACTAGCAATTTATGTCCGCCCGTCCGCCCGTCTGTCCATGTTAATTTGTCCTGATCACACAATTGAAACCAATCGACACGGAATTTTGCCTGTGAAGATAGTTGAGGATAGCGAAGAAGTCTAGCAGTTTGGATTATGTATACTTAGCTCTAAAATGGACCACAACAACTAACAACACGGCGGAGTGCATACGAAATTTGAAAAAATTCCCGTGAATAACGTTGTAAAATAGGGGATATATGATATCGTGGACCTATATAGACATTTCTCTTGCAGAGGGGTAATGTACTCACAAGGGACTCCTTTTGTGGATTTTAAGACAATTCCATTAAAACATTTGGCTGAAATCATCAAAATACCGAATATCGGGGGAACCTTTGTATAGGGGCTATACGATATCGTGGATCTATTTAGACAATTCTCTTCTAGGGCATAAAGTTCTCACAAGGAACTGTGAGAATTTTCCGACAATTCTATTGAAAAATGTGACTAAAATCATCAAAATACAGAATATAGCGGGGTACCGTTATATGGGGGCTATACGATCGTGGATCGATATAATCGAACTTGACTGCAGACAAAAGACAGATCTTTGCAAAATTTTAGCTTTCTATCTCAATTTGTAGCGTGATTAGAATAGATGGACAGACGGACGGACGTTTTATAATTTTACGCAGATCAAGAATATATATACTTTGTTGGATCTAAAATTATTATTTCGTTGAGTTACAAACGGAATGACGAACTCAATATACCCTCCATACTATGTATGGTGAAGGGTATAAAAAATGGGAACTCCGCCTTGGGATGGAGGGTATATTAACTTTGTCATTCCGTTTGTAACATCCCCAAATATTCATCGTAGACCCCATAAGGAATATATATTCATAATCAGCATAAAATTCCAAGTCGATTTAACGATGTCCGTCTGTCTGCCGGTTGAAATCTCGATACAGTCCACATTATTTGACGTAGACCTTCAACATTTGGTAGAACAATTTGTATTGTGTTTAGGATTGGTATTGAAAATTAGATATTTCGTTTTTTTTTCACGTTTTGGTATAGCCGCCATATAACGGTACCCCCCGATATATGATATTTTGATGGATTTGTTTAAAAACTGGTATATATAGGTCATAATGGGTTCTAGCTTCACAGGTGGAACATAGCATGTATAGGTCCACGTTTTCGTATAGCCCTCATATAACGGTACCTCCCGATATTCGGTAGTTTGATGATTTTCGCCACATCTTTTCCACCGATTTGTCTAAAAATTGGTATTTGTAGGGTATAATGGGTTCTAGCTAGTGTGGCGAAACATTGTGTGTATAGGTCCACGTTTTTTGTAAAGCCCCATATCACGGTACCTCCCGATATTCGGTATTTTTATAAAAAATTGGTATTTACAGTTAATAATGGGTTCTAGCCCCACATTTTCCTAAAGCACACATATAACTATACCCACCGATATTGATAATCCTAGTCACATTTACCCACATAATTGTCTCAAATTTGGTATTTTTGAAGATTTGATAGATGACAATCCTTGAAGTATAAAATTGCCTATAGAGCTTCCCGTTTTGGTATAGCCCCATATGACGGCATCACTCACTTTATGGGTTTTTGATAAATTTAACTGCATTGTCCAAACGGTCTTACTGGTATATGAAGTTTAGAGTGAAACATGCTTGAATTCAGATACTTTTATATAAAAATGTTTCCTTTACGCTAAGGTGGAGGGTATTGAATGTTCGGTCCGGCCGAACTTAATGCTTTTTTACTTATTGACATTTGAACAGTTGCTATATTTGCTAGTAGAAGATTCGAAGTTAGTGAAAATATCAGCGAAGGGAGTTCGTTTATTGGGTATTGGAGAGACATCATGAAAATGTCGATCTTCAGTCACGACGAGGACTGAAGCCTTAAAAGTGGAAATTGAACGATGCGTCAATGAAATATGGCAGTATTTATGAAAAACGGTCATTGGCAATTTCATTAAAAGATCGTGTGTGTGCCAGCAAAGCCCGGCGACCATGTGCACAATATCTTATTCCATTCATAACCTCATTCTGTCTACATTACCATACAATAAAGTAACAATTACTTTTTTAAATACCTGTGTTTTATTTAAAATTTAGAGAAAAAAACATTAATTTCGGGCGGACCGAACTTTCAATACCCTCCACCTTAGCGTAAAGGAAACATTTTTATATAAAAGTATCTGGATTCATGCGTGTTTCACTTTAAACTTCATATACCAGTAAGACATTTTGCATAATGCAGTTAAATTTATAAAAAAACCATAGAGTGAGTCCGTTATATGGGGCCATGCCAAAACGGGAAGCTCTATAGACGTTCGCACAACTTTTACACGACAAACAGCTGATTTCCGTTCCACTAAAATCCATCAGAACGAAAATTTGCACGAAAATCAAATCGAAAGAAAACGTAAGCGTTTCAGTGTAATTTTGCGTTCCACTATCTTTTTTCTTTCGTACGCATGCGAACACAAATGTCAAAATCAGTCACTTGTATGTTTACTCTCGTATGATAACAATTAAGGAAAATTATTTTAACAAAAACATTGCTTGATTGAAAATGGAAACAAAAATGTAAGTAAAAATAATAAATGCAATTTAATATGTGAACAACAAATATATTTTTTTATTTCTTCAATTCCAGCACGAAAAAATCATCAACTACACAGCTGGGCACTAGTTGAGTATATGTTCGCCAGAGGAGTCCCAATTTTTGGAAGCAGCAGGCAATCCCTTGAAGACCACTGGAAGAAATTAGTTTTGAACCTCCTCCACATCATCCATAAAAATAGGGCTACAGAAATATTAATTTTTTAAGAGCACAAATAGTTTGAACACAATCACTAGATATTTTATTTTGTTTGTTTATTTACAATTTGTTTGTTTACAACTGAACTGTCAGTTGAGACAGAGCCACTGCTGCTTTTTCGCGTTTAAATTAGACATTTGGCGTTTTTCTTGCCTTATTTCGCGATTAATTTTTCCTTGAGAAATGGTTGTTTATCGGCCTTTTTATTTGATTTATAAATAATAAGATTTTTTCGAGCTTTAGGCCATTTTCGGATTTATTTTATTGATTACAATAATATGTTCCCAATATTTCGCAATTATCAAATTGCATCTTCAGGGGCAATCTATTTTTGAAAACATAATTATTAGTATCACAGCATTTTGTTATGGGCACAATTATTTTCCAAAAAAGAGATTTCTTACATTTACATAAAATAGTCAGATTTACTTAACAGCTAATGTAGTTTTTACTACCATTGTCTGGTGTTATTATTGCACTGATTATTTCTACGTATTGCACGATCTCTTCTTTGTCAAGTGTCGATAACAATAAGCTGCATTATCGGTGTCGCTTTTGTAATTGATCTTTTTGTTTGTTGGTATGTTATTTATATGCAGCATCTCCAATGTTAACCTTCTGTTGTAGTTATTCTCCGCCTGTAATACTCGTATTTTGTCAAAGTTTGGTATGTGGTTGTTAAGTTTACAGTGTTCCGCAAGTGCTGTTTTTTGAATATTGTTTTGGCTCCTTAATTTAATGTCTGATTTATGTCCCGATATTCTAGTTTTTAATTTGTTTTTTGTGGTACCAACATATATTTTTCCACATTTTTCGTCTGTTGTTCCATCACATTCAATGCTATATATTACATTGTGTCTCTCACTTAACGGAATTCTACTTTTGGTATTAGTAAATAAACTTTTTAGTGTATTGTTTGTCCGTGTTGCTATTTGCAGTTTATCCTTGTCATATAAATCGGAATTTTGGAATCTCTCAGATAATCCAGGAATATAAATCATTGATTTGTAATATTTTTCTTGAGATTTGTCCTTAGATTTCGGTATATTATATTCATTTATTAATTTTTCAATTAATAATTTTGGAAAACAGTTTTTGGACAGTATTTTTCGTATTTTGTTTTTATTAGTTTCGTGGAATTTATGGTCGCTAATATTCAATATTCTGTTTATAAGATTTCTACCTGTGTTAATAATCATTTGTTTTGGATGTTTCGAGTGGAAATTTAATATGCGACTCGATGCCGTCGGTTTTTGATACCAGTTCATTTCTATTTTATTGTCCTTTCTCATTACAAGTGTGTCCAGATATGGGATGGAACCATTATGCTCCTTTTCAATGGTAAATTTAATATTTTTGTTGAAATTATTGAAAGTCGTCAATGTTTCTTGTATTGCATTTTCCCCAACAATCATAAATAAATCGTCTACATACTTTGTCAATATCACAGGTTTCGTCTTTTTCCAAAAAATATTTAGCAACACTGAATCACGTAAAGCTATGCGAAAGAAAGAACGAAAGTTAGTGGAACACATTCTTTTACGAAGTAGCCTTCGTTCGCACAAAGTTTCTTTCGAGATCGTGGAACAGGCTCTTAGTCTTCTATATCAATTCATTGGAAAGATAGCGTGATTACAACAGACAGGCAGACTGACATCGCTAGATCGTCTTAGAAGTTTACGCTGATCCAGAATATATATACTTTGTAGGGTCTATAATGAATATTTCGAGGAGTTACAAACGAATGACAAAGTTAATATACCCTCCATAAAAAATCGCGTTCTTGTCGGGACACCCTTTATATTGGAACTATGTGAGCAAGTGTTGATATTTGCATACCAAACCCATGCAGCATATCATTGGGAATGCGATTTCAAAAAAATCGAGATTCGTTATGGTGTAGCAAAAACACGACAAGCTTTAAAACATGTTTGTGGTGATTTAAATTAAATTGAAATTTCATCTGAGTTAATTTGTTGCTGTCTTGCCAACCTTTGAACCAAAACAACCAACACATCTTACCTTCACTACCCAGTGGTTTAAGAGCTCTCGCACGAAGATTTTCGGAACTAAAATACAAAATATTTTCGTCTGTGTTGATTAGTTCACTACGCGAGAATGCTCATGTGGCGATTGTTTTCGGTCTCTAGAGTAAACAAATATTCAAATACAATAAACAATTCCCAAACATCAAATTCGATTCGTTGTTAAATCATTTTGCCGAACACTATTTATACAAACGCTAATTGTAAGAACAACAAAAACAATTGGTATGTCATAAGTAAGGGACAACATCGAAAATCGACGATCCAATCCAACTTACCTGGTGGCTTAGTAAAATTCCCACTTATATCGAGACTTTCAAAGCTGTGAAACGTGGTATCCGACTCGTCTCGTTTGCAGTACGAAGTCGCATTGCCTTTGGTGAACATCTCACCGTCATTACAACAACGCCTGATGCAGGGCATTCGGTGGCACGTCGATGCGATGTCATCACAGGTCCGAACCAAAAACTCCTGATCGATCACATAGGGGGCGTTTTCGATGGCCTCAACACAATACTGAGAAGATTCGAATATTTTGTTCAACGCCCGAAGGTATATGCGTCCGTTGCTAAGGGAAAACTTAAACTGTGTCAGTTTATACTCGACGAGGACTTTGTCGCGGGGACAGTCGATGGTGTTGTCATTGAAAACAACGGCAGTCTTGAAAAATGGCTGATACAACTGAAAGTTCACAGGATCCGGGCTTTGCACGCACTTGCGTTGGCCGGCATCGTATATGAAATTGTGGGGGCAACATTTCTGAGCAAAAGATATTGTTCGCCATTGCTGATCCTCACGGGGACATGATACAGTCACAAGTTCGTCCCGCACAGCCATCACACAGGCATCTGCAGCAATCTCCACATTGCGATTCCTAGCAAATTTGTTAAATACCGGACTACTACACTCTGGTGTACTGGAATTAGTCACATGGTCTTCGCCATGCCGAATTCCCAAACCGTAAACTGGAGAAGAATTTTCGAAAATTAGGATTTCTTCTTTCTGGCCAGAGGGTAGTTGTGTCGAATTCGCAATAAAGAGCTGCGGAACGCACACATACTTAGCGGATTCCTGCAAATCACTTGTGATCCTGGCCAACTTCCAGTCGGCGCTGGAACAACATAGGGGCACAGTTGTGAGATCGATACCATCAGTCGCTGTTACTGCTACTGCTACCGTTCGTTTGCCAGCAATGAGTAATGCACAGATTATTGGGAAAAACATTGATCGGGAGCGAAATACTTGTCTTCTGTGGCTAGTGATGGACTGCTATGCAGATTTCGTTGGCAAACAATCTTCCCGAAAATATACGCAAGGTAGCCAATGACGTCTCTGTGATTGGTATGAGATCGATACCATTTAACATTTTTTCGAAATACCACCTACTCCAACGCCATCGGTATCAACATCAGCGGTAACGACACCATCAATTCTAACAACACACCGGGCACGACGATAGTGACGAAACTCCTTCCCCAAACTGGCCGATAGATAAGACTCGCGATCGCAGCGTGGAAATGATCGTAACTTTGTTGGTGTTTTCAATCAGCTACCTACGGATATGTAATCTAATCAAAGGCGTAACAAAAAAAATTGATTCTTTTTGCGAGCGTTTTGTTTTGTTTGGATTCGAGCGGCGGGTCCGGGGGAATCTCTGTTTCACATTCACGCACGGATTCGATAGATATTTTCTATAGAAATACTTAGAAATTTATAAAAATAAACAAAGTGCCGATTATTGATGGCAATGATGGCAAACAATTGGTCTTCTTTTTTCCTTTTCTTTTGGATATAAACAAAAGTTCACAGGCCCGCTACAACTGACCCCAATGCTCGAAGTTCGTCCGTTCGGTTAAGGTTCTCGCAAACAACTGACTGCAAAATTGAAAATGTTTTGGGAAATTAGGAGAAGTGCTAAGTGTTCAGCAATGCTCACTTCCCAGTAGTGAGTGGGTCGGTCGGTCGGTTGTTTATGAATGAATGAATGAATGTACATGCAGACAGACGGACTGAGCGTTCAAAAAGTAGTTGTCGGTGGTGGCGTATTGCCATGTACAAATAACACCTTTTCGCCTTCGTCGCTGCTCTCAATTAATAAAGAACAACATTTGAGATAAGTACTCCTCTCAAGACTATTGTATTTCCTATCGCTGTTGTCCGGCACGGTGCGAATTTCCGCGAGAGAGTGATGACATTTGGTGGCATGGAATTGTCCCCCATGAGAACATAAATCGCTCTTGGGTATTGCAAAAAAGATAGGTACTGGGAATTTTAATCTTGTGTGCATTATGTTTGTGATAAATATGTCTAGATGAGTGTTGTATTGTGTTAGGGATGCGCTCATTTAATTAAATAAGGATTGTCTTTAATAAATGACTATAATACGCAAAGTATTCGAATCATCCTTTAATAGTTAAGAGTAGGAAGTGGTTGTGCTGTTAAATGTGTGCGTGTGTCTGTTGGTGTAGGTGTGCAGTTTTCACGAAAATAATGAAAAGTCTTTTAAATGAGTCTCCACATGCGGTTTTTGTACCCTCCACCTTGAAAAAGAGGGTATATTAACTTTGTCATTCCGTTTGTCACATCCCTAAATATTTGTCGTAGATCCTATAAAGTATATATATACATTCATAATCAGCATAAAATTCTAAGTCCGTCTGTCTGTTGAAGTCACGATGCAGCATTATTTGATTTAGAGGATTTGTCTAAAAATTGGCATTTGTAGTTCGCAATGGGTCCCACCTCCAGTAGCGGAACATTGTACATTTAGGTCCACGTTTTCGTATAGCCCCACATAATGGTACCTGCCGATATTCGATATTTTAATGGTTTTAGTCATATTTTTTAGGGATTTAGCCAAAAATGGGTACGATGGCGGAACATTTCACATATAGGTACAAGTTTTCGTATAGCCCCATATAACGGTATCTCCCGATTTTCGGTATTTTGATGTAGACTTTGTAGTTCCTAATGTGTTCTAGCTCCAGTGGTGGAACATTGTACATATAGGTCCCCGTTTTCGTATAGCCGCCATAAATCGGTACCTGCCGATATTCGGTATTTTACCCACGAAATTGTTTCAAATTTGTTATTTTATAAGATTTGGTAGATAATAATCCTTAAAGTATAAAATTGTCTATATAGGTTCCCATTGTGAGATGGTCCCCATTCAATGGCCTCATCTACTTTATAGGGATAAACAAAGAGCAGTTGACTTATTCTTGGTATTTCTTAGCCTTTTGCATGATTACTTCGAAGATTGAATATCTCTCATACTCTATTTGTCTACCAACCAACTACTACTTATGTAAACAACTTCTCAAAGTTTCAAAATTTAAGCAAACGTAACTCTCATCAAATCTATTCCGGAGCAATTTCTTGTACCACGAGAAGAAACAAGTAAAAAAGCAGTAAGTTCGGCCGGGCCGAACTTTGAATACCCTCCACCATTTGGAACGAATTAGAAAATTTTCAAAAAAATAAAATCCAATAAAAATTCTTTTAAAATCTTTAAAATATCTAATATAGGAAGGTGCCGATATATGGGGGATATACGATATTGTGGACCTATAAAGACAAATCTATGTCTTGTATGGATTTTCAGATAATTCCATTGGAAAAAGTGGCTAAAATCATCAAAATACCGAATATAGGGGAGTACCGTTATATGGGGGCTATACGATATTGTGGACCTATATAGATGATTCTATGCCGAGGTATAAAGTACCCACACGGAACTCCTTGTGTGTATTTTCAGACAATTCCGTTGAAAAATGTGGGTAAAATCATCAAAATACCGAATATCGGGGGGTACCGTTATATGGGGGCTATACGATATTGTGGATCTATACAGATAATTCTCTGCCGAGGTATAAAGTACCCACAAGGAACTCCTTGTGTGGATTTTTAGACAATTCCGTTGAAAAATGTGGGTAAAATCATCAAAATACCGAATATCGGGGGGTACCGTTATATGGGGGATATACGATATCGTGGACCTATATAGATAATTCTCTGCCTAGGTATAAAGTACCCACAAGGAACTACTTGTGTGGATTTTCAGACAATTCCATTGAAAAATGTGGCTAACATCATCAAAATACCGAATATCGGGGGTACCGTTATATGGGGGCTATACGATATCGTGGACCTATATAGACAATTCTTTTTGAGGAGGTAAAATGCCCTCCTTTTGTGGAATTTCAGACAATTCCATTGAAAAATGTGGCAAAAATCATCAAAATACCGAATACCGTGGGGGTACCATTACATGAGGGCTATACGATATCATGGACCTGTATGGACATTTCTCTGCCGAGGTATAAAGTACCCACAAGGAACTCCTTGTGTGCATTTTCAGACAATTCCGTTGAAAAATGTGGGTAAAATCATCAAAATACCGAATATCGGGGGTACCGTTATATGGGGGCTATACGATATTGTGGACCTATGTAGATAATTCTCTGCCGAGGTATAAAGTACCCACAAGGAACTCCTTGTGTGGATTTTCAGACAATTCCGTTGAAAAATGTGGGTAAAATCATCAAAATACCGAATATCGGTGGTACCGTTACATGAGGGCTATACGATATTGTGGACTATATAGATAATTCTCTACCGAGGTATAAAGTACCCACAAGGAACTCCTTGTGTGGATTTTCAGACAATTCCGTTGAAAAATGTGGGTAAAATCATCAAAATACCGAATATCGGGGGGTACCGTTATATGGGGGATGTACGATATTGTGGACCTATACAAATAATTCTCTGTCGAGGTATAAAGTACCCACAAGGAACTACTTGTGTGGATTTTCAGACAATTCCATTGAAAAATGTGGCTAACATCATCAAAATACCGAATATCGGGGGTACCGTTATATGGGGGCTATACGATATCGTGGACCGATATAGCCCATCTTCGAACTTGACCTGCCTGCAGACAAAAGAGAGATCTGTGCAAAATTTTAGCTTCCTATCTTAATTCGTTTAGACTGTAGCGTGATTACAACAGACGGACAGACGGACGGACGGACAGACGGACGGACAGGTCTTAGAATTTTACGCTGATCAAGAATATATATACTTTGTTGGGTCTAAAATGATTATTTCGATGAGTTACAAACGGAATGACGAACTTAATATACCCTCCATACCTTTTTTGGTGGAGGGTATAAAAAGCATCAAGGGCGGCTGGCACGGACTTTAAACACCCTCCACCATGAGGTAAGGGAAACCTTTATGAAAATGTTTATGACAATTTTTACTACAATGGTTGATATCTATAATGAGTTTTAAATACGAATTTTTTAACAGATCCGTTGAAAAAAGTGGGTAAAATCAATTGGGCGCAGTATTCTTTGGACCGAATCCGTTTCAGGACTTTGGAGTCCATCTAGAGGTGTCCGTCTGTCGGTCTAGCTGGCTGGACACGATAACTCTCAAAGGGAGCATCCGATTTGATTCAAACTTAATATTATTGTCAAAAAATATGTTTGTCAAACTTAGATCGATTTCGGACAGGGGCAATATAGGTACTTTTCTCCTGGTACCTTCGCCACAACATTTTCACAGAAAATTATTTTCCGTATATAACAAGAACCTATAATCCAATTTTATTCAACTTTGAAAATCCCAATATTTGTATGATTGCTAAGACAGGCTCGAAAATGGATATTATCGACCCACTTCATCAGTACCTCCCCCACAACGGGTCAAATGTTTGAATAAGTATAACTCTTATAATATACGAAATAAGCATCCAATTCTCTTCAAATGTCACGCATCCCAATATTTCTATCAACACATAATCAGGTGAGAAGATTTGATATATCGGTCCACTCCTTCTGTTACCTCCCTCACAATGGGGTCAAACTTTTGAATAACTATAAAGCTCATAAAACGGAAATGAGAATCCGAATATTTTAAAACTTAGCACATCCCAATATTTCTACTAAAGCAAGACCTGGAGTGAAGATGGGATATATCAGGCCACTCCTTCCTTCGAAATTATATTGAAATCGGTTCAGATTTGGATATAGCTCCCATATATATTTTCGTCCGATTTCACATATTTTATGCACCAAACACTGTATGTACCTCCAATTTCAATGAAATATGGAAGGGTTGACGGAATTTAGTGTAAATATAAATTTTGTCAAATTATATTGACATCGTTTCAGATTGGAATATGATTTTATTAAGAAGCATTGACCCACAACGCCTTTGCAATGGTATAAGGCTAACAGTAAACAAGTAAGAAAAACTGTAACTTCGGCCGGGCCGAACTTTGAATGCCCTACATCATTTGGGATGAATTTGGCAATTTTCAAAAAAAAAAAATCCGTTAAAAATTGTGTTAAAATCTTAAAAGTACCGAATGTACCTGCACAGACAACCTTCTGTCATAGGCTGTAGCATGCATTACGAACTTCAAATCCCAAATTTGAACCAATTCCGGCGAATAATATCTTTTAAATCATCAAAGTACCGAATATCGGGAGGTACCGTTATATGGGGGCTGTACAAAACGTGAACTACATGGTCCATTTTCAATACCAAAAGTCCTGCAGAAATAATATACATTTGAGTAAAATTTTATCAATCTACTTTATTTCGTTCGGAAGCTAAAGTGATTTCCACAGACTGGCAGACGGATAGACGGACGGACGTGGTCCATTTTCAATACCAAAAGTCCTGCAGAAATAATATACATTTGAGTAAAATTTTATCAATCTACTTTATTTCGTTCGGAAGCTAAAGTGATTTCCACAGACTGGCAGACGGATAGACGGACGGACATCGCTAAATCGAAGTAGAATTTTATGCTGATCAAGAATATATATACTTTGTTGGGTCTAAAATGTATATTTCGAGTTGTTATAAACGGAA